TAAAGTCATCTCTATTCACTCAATGGTGATATCCAAGTCTTTTTTATGGTGATATTCAAAGACGTTTGCATTTTCTCTTCGGTGGTGATATCCAAAGTCATCTGCATTCACTTGGCGGTGATATCCAAGTTCTCTTTAGTAGTGATATCCAAAGACATCTTATTTTTCATTGGTGATATCCAAGTTTCAAAAAATCTAAAAAATTAAATATTTCATTTTTTAAAAAGTAAATTTTAGAAAATGATCTATAAGTCCTTTAAGCCTAGTCTCCAAGACTTTCAAGTAAAGATTAGAACGATTTGTAAGTCTTCTAGGTAGAATGTTTTAAATTTTTAAAGTTTCAAGGGCTCTTTTTAGAGGGGCATTCGTAGATGTCAAGATGTGTAATACTTTCGGGCATTATCTTTAAGTCCTTCAGGCAAGATTCATAAATTTTTCAAGCTGAATCTGTTTTAGTGTTAAGATTTATAAAACTTCAAGGCATAGTCTTTAAGTTTTTCAAGGCAAGATTTATAAGTCCTGCGAATAGAATATTTTAAATTTTCAAAGTTTCAAAACCTTTTTTTAGAGGAGCATTCGTAGATGTTAAGATTTGTAAAACCTCTGAGCATTATCATAAGTCTTTCAAGCAAGATTCATAAGTCTTTCAAACTGAATTTGTTTTAGTATTAAGATTTATAAGACCTCTGAGCATAGTCCCTAAGTCCTCTAAGTAAGATTCGTAAGTATTTCGAGCAGAATATTTTAAATTTTTAAAGTTTCAAAGCCTTTTTTAGAGGAGTATTTGTAAATGCCGAGATTTGTAAGACCTTCGAACATTATCTTTAAATCTTTCGAATAAAATTCATAAGTCTTCCAAGTAAATCTGTTTCAATGTTGAGATTTATAAGACCTTCGAACATATTCTTTAAATCCTCTAAACATAGTTTCTATGTCATCCAAGCAATATCTGTAAGTCTTTCAAGCAAAATATTTTATATTTTCAAAGTTTTAAGGTCTCTTTTCAAATGGGCATTTGTAGATGTTGAGATTTGTAAGATCTTCGGACATTATTTCTAAATCTTTCAGGTAAGATTTGTAAGTCTTTCGAGTTAAATTTATTTTAGTATTAAAATTTATAAGACCTTCTGGTAAATTTTTTTTTGAATTTTCGAAGTTGTGAAGCCTTTAATGAGAGGAGTTTTTCAAGAATTCAAAAAAAAAATACAAAAAAATCAAAAAATTCAAGAAAATAAAAAAATAAAAAAAATAAAATAAAATAAAACAAAAGTTTAAAAATTTTTTAAAAATCAAAATTTACAAAATTAAAAAAAGCTTTTCAAAAATTCTCGAATTTGTAAACAAAATTATTGTCTGTATCTTTACCCTATTTCTGATTATCAATAGTAGTAAAAAAGGATAACTGTAGACACTTAATTTTATCCAAAATATTTTGATTTTGATAAATTTTCATGCCTAACTTGAACATTTTGATTTGGGTTTATTTGAGCATTTTAATTAGATTATTTTGTTGGGCTCATTTGATTTTGTTTTAAATTAATTTTTCTTAAAAGTCATTTCACATCCAATCCAATTCAATGTTATGACATTTTGTACGTGTCATTTTGCATGATCAAATCTAATCCAATATTAAGTTATTTGGTATGTCTTTAAGTCTAAAGCCCAATTCCAAACCCAAAATAAAAATTTTAAGCCTAATTAATTAAAGTTTGATTGATTAAAAAATAAAAAAATGAAAAAGAATAATTCAAACAAAAATAAAAAATTAAAAATACAAGGTAAAAAAAAAAGACAAATATGAGTGAGTCGACTGCCATGGTAACAACCTTCCCGTCACTTTCTCTTCTCCTTACGTGTTTTCTCTTCTCTTATCTCCATGGTTACCACTTTCAACTTTGATTTTTCTTTTCCTTCACATTTTAACTTATTGAAACTTTACATGAACTGATTAAAGACCCTATAATTCAGGTTTTCTAGCAAGTTCATTGCCCAAAAAATGCATGGTCATCATTGCTTCTGCAACATGACTTCAAATTAATCTTCATATTTTTCAATAAGGAAAGGGTTCTAGAAGAACCCGAAATTTCACAAAAAGGGTGAGCAAAAAAATTTTTTTTTAAATCAAGAACACTTCGCCACAAGAAAAATCTATGCTTCCAGCTAAATCACCCCTAAGTCCACCCACCATTAGCCCAACATCCACCTAAACGATCCTATCATAACCATTGTGTTAGGCCAAACTGATCGCCTTACTGAAACAACCACCATGAAAAAACAGGTTTTCTAGCAAGTTCATTGCCCCAAAAATGCATGGTTATCACTATCTCTGCAACATGACTCCAGATTAATCTTCATATTTTTCAATAAGGAAAGGGTTCTACAAGAACCCGAAATTTCACAAAAATGGGGAGCAAAAAATTTTTTTTTAAAATCAAAAACACTTTGCCACAAGAAAAATCTATGCTTCCAGCTAAATCACCCCTAAGTCCACCCACCATTAGCCCAACATCCACCTAAATAGATCCTATCAAAACCATTGTGTTAGGCCAAACTGATCGCCTCACTAAAACAACCACCATGAAAAAAATACCAAAAAAATGAAAAAAAAAAAACATTCACCCATTGCAACCCAAAAAGCAAAACAAAAAAACTATAAAAAATAAATTACATCCCTAATTAGGGAACAACAGCACCAATGCCCAGAAAAAAAAAAAAAACAACAAAATCACAAATGGTAGCAGAGTGAGTGACGGTGTGGGAAGGCTCAAATGAGTAGATATTTGACTAGAAAGAAAAAAAAAAGAAAAGAAGTAAAGGAAAAGGAAAGGAAAATAAGACCAAAACCACGATAGCAGCAACAACATAAACAAAAATAACGATGGTGATTCGACTTGACTCACGACTATGATTTTTTGGGCGATCAAGAATGGTGGGGAAGTAAAGTATAGAAAGGAGAGCAACATACTATAAGCTCAACCAAATCAAATGGTAGAAAATGACAAAAAAGGATTTGAAGCTGCTGACTCTAAGACTAGATTTAGGAAGTTCGATAGACTTTCGTGAAAATCCATTTGAAAAACTGGAAAAAAAAAGTCGAGATGAAGCTAAGGTGAAATTTCACGATCCAAAAGACGTCGGCAAAAAATTGGATTTAAAGTGGCCAACCTTTTTGCTTCAAAGAGAGTTGGGGGTTTTTTAAGCAAAAAAGAATGAAATGATGTGAAAAAAATGTTGATAATTATAAGGTAAAAAAAAATAGAAAAAAGTGAGAAAATTGGGTTAGACTCGAACCATAAAACTAACCTGACCCGTAATCTAAATCGACCCACGTCCAACATTGTTGACCCGACCTGTGATCAGTAGATCTAATCTAGCTCGTTAGTAGCAGACTTGACTTTAGGCCATTTTCTAAATCTTTGGTTTTCGGCTCAACATCAATACTTAGTAGGGTATAATCACTAATTTTTTTAGGCTATTTTATTATGTATATTCATTTACTCTTTTTTGTATGCATGCATGTTCAAAATTTTTATTTTATGGAGATAATTTTTAGGAATAAATTAATTCATGGATAACTTTTTTTTGTGAAATTTTATTATGAATAAAAAAATTTTTGATAATGAGATTTTAAGAAAATCCGCATAATAATTCCTATAAAATCTCTAAATGAAAATTTTTTTTAAATACTATCAACATATTATACTATTTATAAAAAAAATTCATAAAACTTTTTTTAAAAAAAAATGCAAAAAAATTAATAAATTAATAAATGAACTTTAAAAAAAAGTGATAAATGATGATGATGATAATAAAAGATAAATAAAAATGTAAATATTTTGCATGAATATTATGTTATATTTTTGCTTGCATCAAGTGTGGTGTGCAATTTGATTATGAAAATGTAAACACAAGCTTCAAAGATGAAATTTTAAGGAAATTCAAATAAAGATATCTAAAAAATTCATAGGTGAAATTTTTTTTTTTTAATATTACTAATGTATGCCTTGGTTGTTATTAAACCGATTAAACATGAAAAACTAAAAAGAACAATAAAAATATTGTTTTAAAAGACAAATTGATAATAATGAAAATGTTGGAGCACATGAATGACTTCTGGAAGATGTCAGTTGAGCATAGAAATTTTTCGTTTAGACTATTAGAAAAGATTCACTTGCTCAAATTCTAGCTAGTTCTGACTTTTTATATTAGGGAAATTAATGTGTTTAAGACCTTTTTTTTTTAAATTGCTCTTTGAAAATAAAAATATATATATTGCAGATTTTAGAAATGAAATTTCAATTATTAAAAATTATTTCTTTTACATCCGTACAAATCAATTAAATTAAGTTTGAAATTTATTTTTTTATAAAAAAAAAATCTGAAAATAGATAAATTATTCAATCATCTATATCATAATAAAATAATTACAAATCATATATTTAATACAAATAATTACAAATCGTATATTTAAAATAATTTCAACAAACGATTATTAACAAAACTCGAATCCAAAATTTTTTTAATCGAAAAAGATAAACTTCAATAAATTAAGTCAATTAGTTATTGATACTTGAAATTCATGTTATACCTTATCCAGTGGAAACTGAGGACATTTTTTTCCCATTTTTCCTTAATACTTCCTTCCACTTGTTACTGACAATCAGAAAAGAGAAAATACCAAGAAATACTAGAAAAATTGGGAAGGAAAAAGTGGTCGTGCCATGCATGAAATCAACGAGAAAGAGTTGGGTTGCCACTCATATACGTGCGCCAGGTCGCCCATATCACGTGGAGGACATGTTCCCTACTTGAGGCTCCCTCTCCACAAGTTCGTTATTAAATCCTTGTTAAATTGTGAGATGACATACAATTGATGTTTACAGTCATCAAATGAAAATGAAACGCAAGATTTAAATCTCCACAAAAAGAATTAACTCAAATATATATACTTCCCTTTGAGCATTGATCATCAGAATTTTTTTTTTTTTTTTTATGAATATGATTATTAGAATTATTAATTCATCAAAAGAAGTAGTAAATATTGCAGTAAACGTAATCTTGATTTCTTTAAAACAATGATTAAAACATGAGTTTGATGTTTGTAGAAGTTATGAAGAGGATAGAAATATTAAATATAACATGCATCCATGCTGCTTTCTTCTGAAAAAGAAAATTAGGCATAACAATTCCAAGCAATGCATCAATGCTTCTCAGCATCTGAATTGAACAGTGAACTTTTTATATTAAATTTTCTTTTCAATTTTCCGTGCAGATAAATATTAGAAGAAAGTTTCAAGGAACCAAAGCTAAGAGCATGCATGCATGATGATAATTAAAAATTAGCAGTGAAATATGCTTTTGCATTGGCTGCTAAAATTGTTTTAATGAGAAGAAAATTACGCAAACAAGAGTCATGAATGCAGGTGCTTAGGAGGAAGACTTGAAAAGCTTATAATACTTGTCAAAACCAGAAAGGCAAAGCTACATTCAGCTCCTGAGAAACTTCCAAGGCCCTGTTCCTGTCCCTATCCTGCAAATATAGTTCATTATTTATTTTGGATTCTCCATATATCCAAACAATTTTGGACAAATTTGTGTCCCTCAGACTCTTAACCTATATTCAGCCACAAGAAAAGAAAGAAAGAAAGAAAAAAACAAAAGGAAAACAGTATAATATAGTAAAATCATACTAAAAATGAAAAATTACCTCCAAAATCCAGCACATGCTCGAAGACTCATATATATGGTGAGAGCTATCCACAGTCCAATGAATCCATAACTGGAGGAGAGAACAGACAAACACATAATGCTGACAATGGCAACAAGAACCTGTGAGAATGAAGAATGCAATATTAATTTCTTTTCTAAAAGCACAATTGGAATGATTCTGCACCCTAGTCCTTCACCTAGTAAACAAAAAGAATTAAGGGGATAGAATCAGGAGGTAAGAACAACTCTTAAATGATGGGAAATTTTCTGCTACTACTCCAACCTCTTGGTGAATGAATAGGGTGTTATGCTATAACAGTTTCACAACAGTATTTTCCTTGTGATGAAAATCAGAAAATCTTTTGCCTCGAAAGAAACAGATACCTACTTTCTATTCTAAACAGTGAGTGGATAACGAATTCCAAAGATAACAAAAGTATTAAAACATGTTTTCATGACATCAAAAATAGATAATAGACTTGCCAAGGAGAAGGCAGAATATGCAAAGTCAGATGCTCCAAAGTTGACACCATCAAAAACAAATGCTAAAGAATTGATGGGCTGAGTAGCTGCAACAAACTGAAAAAGTGGAAATGGATATTAGTTCCTGTCCTTTCGGACTTCTGGTGATCTGTGGGGTTAGAATAGGTTGAAAGCTGTCTTTTTTTTTGTTTGTAGGCAAGAGTACTTACTGGAATGCCTGTGCCAATGAGGTGAAGAACATTGACATCTTTTGTAAATAATTTTGCTCCAAAACTCAGTCCTCCTCCAAGTATGACTGAAAGTATCAATCCTAGAACCAATCCTAACTGCAGCGCATATACATTGACTTTTAGAGGAAATCATGTTATTGAAAGGTCACTTGATGTTTATGGCATATGATACGGCACCTGCAATACTCGAGATGCAGTGACTGTTGCCTTATCATAGTCCTTTTTTGCAAATGCACTTGCAAGTATTGCCTGAAAGAATGAAAAGCATTTAAATTACAATAAGAACAAGTCTATCCCAAAAAAAGGTATAATCTGAAACAGCAGAAAAGCAGCAAGAAAACAATGGGAGTGCCTGTTACTGTTAGTAATGACAAGAATTTTCTTATGGTAGCAACCTACCACCAAAATGTTTTTCTTTTTTGCTTTTGTTCTTTATACGAAATATGCTAAATACTGAAGGTACATCTTTGCTTTTCACTTTTATAGCTTTTACTATTGGAGCAAAGTGAATTTAATTACACGTCAGAGTAGTAATTTCAGCACATTAAGATACTACTTTGGTTAAGGTTTTGAAAGATAGGAACATAAAATCATCACCACAGGGGTGCAATAACTAAACAGAAGCTGTTCTAACCTGTCCAGCGACAGCCAACCCATCAGCAAGAAGAGAAGTCGCCAACCAAACTTGCAAGCATACTTGAAATGCAGCCATGGATGTTGATCCTTGTCTGGCAGCCATTGATGCAGAAAGGGTGATACAGAACGTAACAGCCATAACTCTTATTAACAATAGAGAACCTGAATTCAAACACAAGAATCAAGTGGGATAGTAAGTAATCAATTAAAATAGGCTGATACAGATTAAATGCTCATAGACAAGTATGAAAACTTGATGCACCAACTACCTATGAATATCTGATATAACTAATGAACATAAATTACTCTTTTTACCAAACTCCCTGATGATTATCCTAATGGAAAAATGGCATTTACAAGACCAGCTAAAATAAACATTGATTCTGTCTGACACTTTGACGATTAACACACACAGACACAGACACAGACAGGGACAGAGAGAGGGAGAGAGAAAATGAAATGAATAAGCCCTAAAATTTCCAAATTGCAAATATTGTTGATATTTGAGAATTTTTAGAAGTCAAATTTGAATTTACCATTCTTAAGAAATCTACCAAACTGTAGATGTTTTAAGTTAGGAGATAAGAGATCAACTTGACTCATTAATTTCCACAAAAGTATAACTGAAATGAGGTACCTGCAATCACCATAGAAATTAAAATACAAAATTAGCAAGTCAATGCATTTGAATGTTTATAGCATGATAAACCTATTGGTGAACATTGATTGTATATAACTTACTGAGATATCACATGAGCTATGGCTGCACCACTGACACCCAAACGGAAAACATAAATAAATACTGGGTCCAATATGATGTTTGTTACATCTCCTGCCACTGAGTTTAGATCAGATAGATGAGAACAATTTTAAATGGTCAGTAGATGAGAAATGGGCAGAAAAAAGTTTTTGTGTTTCTTGATGTGTTAAAGAAGATCAAAACCATATGCCAAACTCTGTTAATAGGACATACCAGTGGCATATAAAGGAGTTTTTGTGTCTTTAAATCCTCGAAAAACGCCTTGCATGGCTAACGAAAGAAGAACTGCAGGAGCACCTAGTGACCTTAATGTTAAGTACTGCTGTGCAGGGTTTAGCATGGGTGAATCCTACACAAATGGGCAAATCTGCTGTCACTACTGTTGCAGTGTAGATTAAGGCATTGAACACCAAACCAAACTAATGAAACCAACAAAAAGAAAAGAAAGAAATAGTTGTTCAAGAGCCTCTTCTTGTTCTCTCAACCTGAGTACTTACTGAATTGACTCCCATGAAGTTCAATAGAGGTTTTGCTCCAGAAATCAGGAATATGGCTTGGAGGAGACCGAGGATGCCACCAATAACCAGTGCTGATGAAGCTGATGGGATATGCCTTCTTTTGGGCTCAAATTTAGCAGTGTCAAAACTGCATCCTAGAGTTTTTGGCCAGTATGGACCCTCATTAGATTCTGAAGATCAGATTCAAACTGTAGATACTTTTGTGCATGAACCAATTTAAGGTAAAAGTATTTTAATTGAAACTGATCAGACCAAAAATTGCAATCAACTTGATCTTTCATTTCAAAAAAGAGAGAGATAGAGGTGGCCATACCTTTTTGTGGTATTAACTCTTTATTTTCAGTATTTACGCATGAACCTGTTTCCAAGTATTCACTTTCTTGTGATTCAGAGCTCATTCCTCCAATTGTATCTTCCTCAGCCACAAAAGATGTTGTGACACTGACCAGAGGGAAGATTGCAATTCTGGAGACTTGATTGAACAAGGCAATAGAAACTCCTACAGCAGCGAGTTCGACAGGACCTATATGGATCAAGGAAAACTAGGTAAGTCTTCCCATCAAAAAACTTTCTCCTCAAGACAAGATGCTGACTGTAAAGAGAGGACAGGCGTTTCAAAGACTTTAGAATGGTTAAGGAACATAATATCTGTCAATTCCTTTCTACATTCTCAAGAAATTAACAAGAAAAATAATCTTTCAAACTGGTGTAAATATTTTTCTTCAAAATATGCCTCTCCTCCAATTCCAACACGTTCAGACATAAAGAGCAAAGAAAATACCTATTTGGCCAATGAATGCTGTGTCAACAAGAGAAGCAATAGGGTCAGCTGTCAAAGCCAGTGCAGCAGGCAATGCAATTTGTGCTATCTCTGATCCAAGTTCATCCAGTTTAAAAACATGTCTGCTCATACAATTGCAAAATCAGACTAAATCCTAGATATATCTCTTAAGGAAAATTTTTATCAAAAATAATAAAATTCAAGTCTTCAAAAGCCATGTTGTTCACTGAGAGTAAGGGCCAACTTTTATATAATTTTAAGATATGACATTCAAATCAATGTTTCTTTCATTTTTAAATGTTTTCAAGTAAATGTTGTTTTAACTATTTGTTAAAAGAAAATTGCTCTTGTGCTTGCTTATATATGTTTCATCAATAAAAAAAAATGGAATATAGAAACCTAATGAATGAAGCCGTGTCTCATAAATGATTTTTTCATGAACCAATGAAAATTGAGTTAACAAGTTCGAATGCAATAATGAAGATGAAAAGCTAATCAAACTGTTGAACTGTCTGTCTTACCAGCAAACTAAATGTGTGCAAAGCAAAATCTGGGAAACATACCTGGCATCCTTGAAGAAAATGAAAAAAGGAAGTTTCATCTTGGGCCTAGCTGGATTTGTATCATCTTCTTCAGTCATCATTTTGGTAGGGTGATTCACTCAGTTGTCTACAGGATGCAGAATTAATCAAGCCAATGGCATCAAACTGTATATAAACAGAATCTCACAAACTGAGCCCTCCTAATTCTACCTACTAATAAATGATAAATTCTTGAATACCTGGGAATAAAAAGTTGGTTAAATTGATAATAAAAAGGATAATAACGGGAAAAAAAAAAAAAAGAGAGAAGTATATTAACTCAAGCTTTTTTTTAATCAGGTTACAGGCACATGTATCAAACTTATACCAAATAGGCAACACCAGTCAAAACAAAACTTCCTGTAAATTCAACAACACACAGAAAAATTATGTACCTGTCTCTTTTCACTGTGAACTCCAAGAAGTTTCCCCTGCTTCCAAGTCACAGGCTTCTTTGAAACCTCAACACATAGAAAAATTCTGTACCTGTTTCTTTTTACTGTAAGCTTCAAGAAGTTTCCCCTGTTTCCACCAAATAATAAAAAAAAAAGTCTTCAGCATTGAATGTCTCAAGAGCCACAAATACCACACTGCACAGGTAATTCAAGGTCCAGAAGAAAAATGAATGCCCTTTCACTTTCTCATAAATCTCAACATGGAAAAGTTAATACTACAATCCCATCTTGGAAACCTCGAACACCCCATCAAAACAAAACAAAGCTGTTTATCAACACACGACCTACCTAAATTCAACTCTTGAAGAAGTATCTAACTTTCCACAGTGACACTTAAATAGACCTTAAACAAGAATAAGGACATACCACTTTACCAACCAACTTTCCTGCTTTGCCAGAGAGAGAGAGAAGTTGTACCGTGTGGAGCAGTATGGAAGGATGCATTCCTCTGGCTAGAAGAATAAAATAATATGAGGTAGGCCCTGGTTGATTCTCAATGGAGTTGCCAACAAATTTAGATTACAAGTGTCAGTATCAGATTCAAGAAGAAAGACCTTTTTGCATTAAAATCCTGAACAATGTCACTGCATACATAAGAAAATTTGCCAGGTGTCCCACTGTTTGAGGCAGAAAATTACTTCAACGTTTAGCAAATCAAAACCATTATTAATGAACAAAACGCATAAAATAAAAAAATAAAGTGCTCAATATTTATCATTTTAATTTAGCAGCTAATATTCAATTAAATTATATTGAAATCAGGTAGAGGGATTTAAATTACAGATATAAATACATTTTCGATTAGGTTATATTTACCATGATTATAAAAATAATGAATATTATCATAATCATTATGATCATTACGTTTATAAATTTTTTTCAAATTTACATAATTTTTTATAAAACATAATAATTATAATTATAATTATAATTATAATCATTAATTTTTTTTTCATGATTTTTAAAATAATGAATGACACATGATGTGATTTTATTTATATACAAAATTTATTTACAAGTTTTAATATTATAGTAAAATATTCACATTTAAAACATCAACAACATAAAAATATTAAAACAATAAAATCATTAATAAAATTCAAATATAAATAGAAATCAAAAATCAAATTAATGTATTAATCATTTAATATTTTATTTTTTCATCTAAATTATAATATAGTATACCTCTCAAATTTATATTAAAATCTTTCATCTCAAATTTTTTAATCTAAATCAAATTAATTCTCAAAACTTTTTAATTTTAACCAATTATTTTTTTCCCAAAATTTACCCCTAAATTTATTAAAAAGTTAATTTTTTTTTTGTCAAGATTCACTGAATTTAATGCCCACCAAATTCCCCACTACATTCAAATATTTTTTTCAATTAAAAGTGTAAAATTCCTCTACATCCACCGGCCATGGCAGCCAACCTTTTTTTCATTTTTTTCTAAACCTCTACTTTCTACAATTCCCGCAAACCTTCCATCAGCTATAGCAGCCAACTTTCTTCCAAGCTTTCATCCTAATTCAATTTTTCACCTAATTAATGTCATGATTCATCTGATTTCTTCTTCAATCCAAGCAGCACAATCCTAAACTCACACCCACAAAATGCTTATAGATGGATTTTTGAAATTTTAAAATTTCAAACAAAATTTCTTTAAAGTTTAAATTTTTTTAAATCATATAAAACATAAATTTACAAACACTTAAACAGAGAAGAAAAGATAATTTTAAGTATTTTATTATTACTTGATTTTAATAAAAAAAATTTTATGTTTGATTGAGTCTTTTTTTTTTTATTTAATCATTGTAAATTTAAGATTTTTTTTCTGTGTTTAGGATTTTTATTTTGTTAATCTTTATTGAAATTTTAGTGTTTGATGACATCTTGTACTAGGTTACATGATGGATGCCACTTAGAGTTTGATGTGAAGGTCAAATTACTTCTAATTTTTATTATTATATGGACCAAAATGATTGACTTATAAAACACACGAAGTGGAAAAAACGTGGAGAATTCTCCTACTCATATATAGTCCCTCGGCCCCCACCCCAAAGAAAAAGTGGTTTGTGGAAAGACAAATTTATCCATGATTCGGGGATCATTTAGAAACTGTGGTGGGCCAGCTTGGTAATTTGAAAGAACATACAACTAATTGATGAGACAGAAGTCACACTTAAAAATTTGTGGACCGCATTAAAGGAGTTAGTACATGTTTGGTTGATATTATTTCATCCTAAAATCTTAAATTATTGAATTTTTAAGTTATACTTATAATCATTTAAGTTAGGTAACATTTTTTTTGTTCACTTATAAGTTCTAAACAACTTCTTGTTTAGTCAGACAATCTCGTATTTTTATTCTTGTTCACTTGTGATTTTTTTATTTAAGTAACCTCATATTTTTAATTTCGTTAACTAGTGAGTTCCGATCAAACTCTTTATATAGTACCCCATGCGAGTAAATATATCAATACATCTTTTAAGTCGAGTAACTTCGCATGTACATCACTATATCCCATAGGCCAAGCAAGTTGTTTTAATGCCACTAAATTTGCATTCGATCACAAGTTGACTTAATTTATTAACATCGCTTTCACATATTACTATATTTGTTGGTCTATATATATATATATATATATATATATTAGATATTATTTGAATTTAAAATTTAAAATTATTGAATTTTTTATTTTTTATATATATATAATATTTTAATATCATTTTTAATGATATAAAACTTTTTATTCACGTATAAATCACTTCAACAAAAAACTTTCAAGAACATGCCACTTCAAATTATCCTCTGCCAATTTGAAAATAAAAAAAAATCAACTTAATTTGACAATTTTATTTTTAATATTTCAAGTTGGAATTATAAAACGTATATAAGGAAATTGACTACATGGGAAAAGAGTAAGACTGCATTGTATTTTTTATACTCAAAATCTTTATACAGACAAAAAAAAAAAAAAAAAAAAAAACAAATAATAGAAAGGATTTATTTTTTCTTCATTTACCAACCTCGTTCACGCATCAACTTTTCGTTTAAAAAGTGTTTACACGCATGATCATACATACTTTGATAAAAGTAGTTCTTTTTTCAGAGAAAAGGAGCTTTTATATTCTTAAATAGAAAAAGAATTTTAAAAAATTATTATGTATGTAAGCTTCAACAATCCTTTTTATGTTTACATAATATTTCCACGTTTTAGTGTGAATGAAGCCAAAGGATATACTCCATTAATTTTTGTTATAAAAGAAGTCTTAATTTGGATATAAAAAATAAAATTATAAATATTAAATATTATATTTTAATAATGCTTCATCAATTCTTTTTAAACACTTTAAAAATGTTTATTGCTTAGGAGGATTTCCACTTAGGATTTAGCCAAGTTGCGCACTCTCTCATATTTGTTTGATTTGGAAGTTAGAGTGATGTAAATCATGGTTGGTCCATGTAGGATTCCAAAACGCTTGCATTTTAAGCGGTTCGTCTCTCATTGGTCCTCTCCTCTTTGAGGCTAAAGATCTACTCAACAAGATCTATCCAATCTTTCAATTTTTATTTTCAATATTTAACTAACTATAAATAAAGAAGCGAAGAATTAATTATTGAGTTAATAAAAAATAATTAAATGGTAACCTAGTTGTGACAATCCGATCGACTCATTTGTATAATTTTAAAAACTTTTAATAATTAATAAATACTCCATACTCAGAAACAGATTTACACTGAGGATAGCTGGGGGGGGGGGGGGGGGGGGGAGCAATTGCCCCTTGAAATCCTAAATTTTTTTTTAAGTATATTATGATATTAGACAAAAATTTTAGTATTTTTATATTTTACCTCGATTAAATTAAAAGAAGAAAAAAAAGGAAATTTTAAAATATTATAAAGTATAAATTTACTTTAGTAAAAAAAATTGACTTATTTTAAAAGAAAATAAAGTATTACATGTAGTTATTAATAAATTTTAACTTATAAATAATTATTTTATGTAAGTCTCACTCTAATTAGCATAAATCACAATCTGATATTATTTTTCTTTCATTTACCTCGTCCATCTATTCTCCTCTCTTTCCATTTGTAAACTTCTTTTTCTAACTTATATAAAATATCATTATATTATTATAAAAAGGTCCAAACCAAGTATAAAATGATAAAATATTTGTAAAAAGAAAAAAAAAACACAAATTAAAGCTAAAATAATTTTATATAATAAAATATAAATAACGGGTAAAATGGAATCACAAAAAACCACTCATGATATAAAAATTCATTTTTAACATATTGAAGTACTTTCTTCTTTATATATATAAATATATATATTGATAATGTTATAAGATGTTTATTTAATATTATTTAAAATTTTTAATAATATAAATTTGATGTAAAATAATGTTGTAAAGATGTAATCTAACAAAATTGTAGAGAGGAAATCTAACAAGATCTAAAATTTAGAAAAAACTAGTATCAATTTAAAATTATTAAAAAAGTTAAAAAATATATAGAAGTAACATGTTGTTGGTCCTATTTTATATTTTTATATTTTATCTTATGTCTTATAAACTATAAAGAAATTTTTTATATATTTGATATTGTAAGAAAAATTTAAAAATTTTCTATTAAAAGTCTGTTTTATATTTAGACATTATCTTTGCATTAAATAAAAATTTTTAAGTAACAATATTAAATAAATTTGTCTCAATTAAAAAAAAAAATCCAGATCCGTCTCTGTCCATAACGGATAAACATAGCATAAATAAATATTAGACGTCAGACTTGAAATCTTATTCTAAGCTTGGCCCAATAATACCAATTATTATGTATAGCCCAAAAGGTTCATTGGGCATAAATTTTTAAGCCCAATCATGCAAAAACTTTCCACTACCAAGTCCAACCCATTTGTATTTTATAAAAAAGAAAACGTTAAAAGGTCTATACAAATTATAAGTATATTTTTAAAAAGATTTTTTTATCTAACATATTATCTCTTCCTCGATTTGAGGGAAAATAATGCATTAAAAGAAAACATATTTTCTAAACTAACAGCTTAATAAACCTTAGCAAATATATATGAACACCCATTAACCGAATCCTTTGGCAAAAATACAATTGATTAATCAAATTTGTCTTTTCATTTTTGAAATCACGAAGATATAAATTCAACGGAGGTAAACAAATCCTTTTCCTTCTTCAAAAAGGATAAAAAAAAAAAATCAATATAGTAGTTTTCTTCAAAACGGACAACACTTTCTCACACAAGATTCCCAGAGGCATTTCAAAAAAAAAAAAAAAAAAGGAGACCCGTCAATAAGCTTCAACCAAACAGAAACATGCTTCCTAGGCACCAACTTATGCCACTAATAAACCAAAATTTGGCTGGTAAACTTTGAGGACAACCAAGCATTCAAATAATTATCATGTCATTAATCTCATAATAAATGCCGGCAGATGCAATGCCGTTGTCAAAATTTGTGGTACAATATCTAATTTCTGCTCCAAATAGTAGCCCACAAACTAAAATGTATATTTTTGTTCCAACCATAGGCTCAACTAAACCCCATCAAGATATTATTTGCAAGGAAAAGAATCAAAGACAAAATTTTAACCTGCTTTGGAAGTGAATAAAAGATAGTAAACTCCCACGTTAGGGTGAGCAAAAATCAGAGAAATTAAAGCTTGGTGTCTGCAAATTTTATGACTACCCGCTTTACCACAAGCCAATAGCCTTCCACCAGATGCCTCCAACACCGAGCCAGATAATAATATTGACAACAGACATAAGGAAACCATAACCCCACCATTTGGCTAGGGGTACATAGCCAGCACCATAAAAAACGGGCGCAGATCCAATGCCATAATGTGTAATGCCACCCATGAGGTTGGAGAGGAATGAGAGAACAAGGGCTCCCAAATATGGTGGAGTGCCCAAAGCACTAGCCACTGACAAGAAGGCTGTAAACATGGCACCAATATGAGCGGCTCCACTGGCAAAGAAGTAATGCGAGTAGAAGTAGAGAAGAACCAGAATGCCAAATGACAATTGCCATGAAAGACCTAATCCGCCAACGACCTGTAAAAAGTGCAGATCGTACACATTAAAGGCAATTTCGAAATGCTAATTGATTAAGTTTTAGCCTAAATCCAATTATACATCCAAGTAACAGGAAATGCAAACTTTAAGTGAGGTCAGACCTCTTGGTAACGGCCCTTATGCAAAACATATAATATGATCGCCAACGCAGAAACATTGGACATAGCAATATCAAGACAATGGTTAGCCTAAAAGTAAAAGGAACATCCTAGAGCACTGTTAAATCAGACTCAAAAGACATTTCAAAGTGGTACGATGAAACATTAATCGAACAGGAATATAGAACTAGAGCGAGACAGAAAATCATACTAGAATGGATATATCACAACATAAAACATAAGTACTTCAATATTTGTCATTATTTAAGAGAAGGATATAAATTGCCAACTGTTTTCTTTTTTCTTTTTTTTTTTTTTTCATTTTAGGGGACCAAGAAGGATTTTGAGGGAAAATTAATGTTATTCATACAAGCATTTTCTGGAAAGTAAACCACCACATATAGAATATGGTGATGACCCTTTGGCAATTCCTTTAAAAGTTATAGTAGTCAAGACATGGCAGAGAGAAAATAAAATAAGAGAAAGGAAAACAGAACAAACCTTAACAACATTTTCACTAAACCATGAGATGAGACCATATTTGTTCAAATACCCAGCCATGGCAATGAGTGCGGCAAACCATGTAAGCGTATCCCATGCAACTGATTCAGCTAGACACTCCTTCCATGTGACTACCCCAGTTACAAGTAGGACAGATAATCCAAGAATGGCAGCAGTAACAGCATCCATGTTTAACATCCCTCCAAAAATCCAGAGCCCCACCTAATGCAACATAAGAAGGTATGAGAAGACTCATGATATAGTAATATACACTCTTGCATGTAGTTTTACACACATGAGTAGTACCTAATGTGATTCATCCACCATATGCACGGTAAATGTAAAACATTTGCACAAATGAGGACACAAAGTAATACAACCAGAAATAGCATTAAACTTCTTATTAATAAGTTGAGAGCAATCAATATTGCAGAAGAATATAAAAATTGATTGAATTACAGAAACCTAGTCATATTTGATCAGATATTTCCTCTTGCAGTATACCAAGATCAAGGATTCAAATCAATAACAACGAGGTACCGAGAGATTCTATCACATGCATGATTCGTTTCCAACTAATGGAATTGCAGCAGTGATTTCAGCAATTCAGGCACAGCCTTGATATTATTGATGTTTGAATCCAGCTAAGAAGCACTTGAAATAAAATATGAAAACCTTTGAGGCCAAAAGAGCGAACATTTACAATGGCAAAAGGAAAACCTAACAGCTTGCAATTTTTCCTCAAAATCCTACGTATAGCTTATACAAAAATGGTCTAGACTTATACAAGTTTATGAGGGCAACCTTGAGCAATTGCTATCAGGCTTATTTCATTTGATAATCATTAACAATGAAAGAATCGCATGACACATTCTATGTTTGACCAAGTTACTTGTTAAGATGTATATTAGAAGCAAGATTGTGAGGAAGTCTCTCCTCTCCAAGCCCATCCATAACCGAACCTAATTGTTTGACTCTTAAGGTATATATCTAACCTCTGCCTCCAAAAACCAAGTAAAAGAAATGATATGATATGAGGGTTAAGAAAGAAGATGAAAAAGGTTGTTTTTGATAGAAAGGAGTGGTGCAAGAAGATTCAAAACTACAACCTAACATGATTCTTTTTTTAGTCTTTCATACAGCCAACCCCAGAGTTATAAGGCTTAGTTTGTTGTCGTTTTATCTCCAAAAACAGACTAATTCAGAAGTTCACTTCAAAAGCCTCATTGACTAGCAACAAATCCGTGTTGACCTTCCACCAAAGTCAATCATCAAAAATTGATTTCAAAGGAATCTTGGGCCCAGAAGAGCAGCTCCAATAAGAAATCAACACTGCGTCTGACCAGTGTAGAATTTTTAAAGGAAACCAAAATTCGAATAGAAGCTTTCACATGAAACACCTAACTGTCTCCGCATCTTTATAAGCTTTTACATCAATCAAGAAAAACTCTCCAAGATGTAGCATGAATACTCCTAAAGAGCAAAAAATAACCACATAAAATATAACACTCATCCAAACTTCCCTATATGCATCTGACAAATTTACATTTTCCTAAAAAGTCCTAATTTTTATAGCATCTCTTTCCCTCATCACTAAATGTAATCTAGCAAAGTACTTGCTAAGGGCAGTTCTTCAAGGAAAGACAAAGTATACAGCAACAGAGAAATGTACCACTGTCACAAGGTCAAAGTCAACTACTACTCTGTGGAATCCAGCAAAATAAGTACCACAATTAACAGAGCTACATATCAATCATCTACCGAGAGGTCCGAGACAATTAAACTGGATTAACGATCTTAAATGGTAGCACAATATGGAGGGCTCTACAACGAAAATGTGGCTACTCTCGTGACCACACGTCACCATTGTCCCCTACCAATTATTTTCGAGTGCGACATTTCCAGTTGATAGAGTGTTATGGTGGACAAAACATATTTTCTTAGTTATATAGGCATAATTAAAACATTCATAATCCTAAAGAATCAAAGATTAAAAAATTGATTAATAGAGTATTAATCTTGTTATACCGTTAGAAGCAAAGTCCCAGCCATAATAATCTCATTCTTGGACATCGGTCCCATCTTCTCCAGCTTCTCCTTAGCAAGCTTTGGCGCGTCCGGACTACTCTTCACCGTTGGCGGATAAATTACATACAAAATCAATGGCACAACGAGCAACGAAACTAAACCTGGCACGATAGCTGCCTTAGCCCAATCCGTCCATCCAATCTGCTGTTTAATCGTATTGAAAGCTAAATTAGCACTTAATGGATTCGCCGCCATTGCAGTCAAAAACATCGAAGAAGAAATAACAGAAGTTTGGAAACACGTAAGCATTAACCAGGATCCTAATTTATTCTCCGTTCCGTCACCCGCATTGCTTCCACAAGCGACGCAGAGAGATTTGACTAGAGGGAGGAAAATTCCTCCGGCGCGTGCGGACACGGACGGAATTGCCGGCGCTAATAGAGCTTCGCTGAAGACTAAACTGTAGCCTAAACCTAAAGAGGAAGATCCAAATAGGGAAACGAATTGGTAAGCGATTCGATTACCAAGTCCGGTCTTGATGAAACCGCGAGCGAAGAAGAAGGCAAGTGCGATGAGCCAAGGAATGGGATCGCCAAAGGCGGAGAAGGCAGCTGAGAAGGTTAGGGTTTTGGTGAGTACTGAAGCGCCGAGTCCGAGTAAAGCCACGGCGCCGAGTGGTAACGGTTGAGTGATGATGCCGACAATCGTGGCGAGGAATATGGAAAGTAGTTGCCACGCGTTACGGGAGACTCCGGATGGGACGGGAACGAACCAGAGGATGACGCCTGTAGCTATCGACGCCATTAATGGCTTTAATGCTGCACCTTGCCATGGTTGCTGCGATGGCGGAGTTACGGCAGCTGGAGTTGACGCAGCCGCTTCGACAGTTAACTTCCGGTGGTTGTTTTGGATTCTTTTATTTGAAATGATTGGAGTGACACTTAACGGTTTAATGAAGCTGGAATTGCTTGAAGTGGATTTTGAGAAAACCGGATGGGCCAGGACCGAGTTCGAACGCGATCTGGAAGGGAAAGCACGTGATTTGATACGTGAGAAGCCGAGGGAGGAGCAGGAGGTAGTGAGTGCGATGGACGCCATTTAAAACGGTGGCGTCGACGGTGGAGGAGAGGGAGAAATGAGAAATGAGGGAACCGAGTGAAAGGTGGGGTTTATATTTGTTGTAGGTGAAAGGGAGGATGAGGATCAACGCTGGCCGCTAGACCAATATCAAACAGTGGATGCGAAGTTTGGAATATACGGTTGGCTTTGGTAGTTGAGATTTCCGTCTATGAATTTCTCACGTTAGGCCAACGGCCCGGGTTTTGTATTTATTTGACAAGAGGACGGGGCAGCGTCCATGTGTCGCGGTGTTACTGGATCAAAGTTCAGCATTTTGGTGACGTGGGAGGAGTGGAAAAAGGTGGACCAATGGAAAGACAGGATTTACACGTGGTGGATTGTGAATGGGTATGGGGTTCTGAGAGCGAGATCCGGAAAGGGGATGTTTTCTGTTTTCGTTGATGGCCACGGCACTAAGCAGAGAAGTGGGAGCTCTGAGGCCAGAAATGTGTGTTTCGGAAGGGGAAATGAAATGACAAAGTTGCCCTCAAGGGCCCGGCAAATCGTGGAACAGGAGCCACAGAAATGCACATGCGCTGACGCTGGTGCGGAGCTAGGATTTATATTTGTATGATCGCATCAATAGAGAAGTAAAAATAAAACGAATAGCGTAAGCAGTCAGCGAAGCAAGGGTGTAAATAAATTGAGTCGAATTCATGTAATAAAAAGTTTAAATTTAAGTTTAACTTTTAATTCACGATTTGATATTTAATTCGAATTCAATCGAATTTTATTTTTTTAGTTCGAGTTTGATTTGTGATTAAAATTAAATTATTTGAATTTATTTAATTAAATTTGATTAATATATAAAAATAAGTTCGATTCATATACTCGATAAGAGTTTGATTATATGTATTCGAACTTGAATTTGATATATTTTATTAATTAAAATAATAAAAATATATTTAAATATAAAAATTTGATTAGGTTCGCGAACTACTCGAGTCAGATATAAAAATACTTAAACTCAGTTCGATCGATGAGTCGAACTACTCGAATTCAAGCTTGACTCGATAATAATCGAATCGAATTTGAATTTTATTCGAATCGAACCCGAATAATTTATGAGTATTAATATATCATTTATATCTCTACAACAAAAATAAAAACTAAAAAGTGAGAAGTGCAAATGGGTGGTTCAGCTGCATGATCCGACAGGATGAGTTTTTTTGGCATTTTGTTTAAACTTTTTTATTATAATTTATATTATCTATCACAATAAAAAATTAAGTTTTTACACCTGTAAGCACAGATAATTTCATAATTAGATAATATTAAAATTTATAAAATTTTAATAAATATATGATTTTATATTATATTATCAATATCATATTTATTTTTTAATATTATATTTAAACTTTTTACACCTGTAAGCACAGATAATTTCATAATTAGATAATATTAAAATTTATAAAATTTTAATAAATATATGATTTTATATTATATTATCAATATCATATTTATTTTTTAATATTATATTTAAACTTTAAATATAAATATGAAAATTCTAATAATAAAGACAGATTATATTGTTTCCTTTATCCTAATAATTTGAATATAAATGCTAGTTTTATTTTTTTTTAGTTATTTGATAATAAAAAAAATTATTTGTATCACAAATTTATTCTATTTAAATTTTATTTTTCAATAAACAATGTATTTTATTTATTTAAAAAGAAGAGAATATCTTATTATTATTACAAATGGTACAAAACTATATATTGATAAATATAAATGTAAAATTAAGTGTAAAAAATGTCAGTGAAAATCTTATATACTCACACATTATACTGTTAATTTGAGTAATTTGATAAATTATGAAACCTTACAATTTATAATTGCAGTAAAACCTATATTTCTTATTAAACTTACTTCTGAAGAATTGAATCCAAAAAAATTTACACATGCCAATCATATTGCATTTAAATTCATTATAAAAATATTGTTAGGACTAAATTCTTTAAAATTGGTTTATATTAATTGTATTTAAGTGATTTTTCTCTATTAAGATTTAATCTATATATTATTTGTGAAGCTTTTAATTAAATTAAGTCTTATACATAAAAATAAAAATACATAGACATAAAGAAAATATCATATTCTTAAGTTTTAATATAATTATATCTTAAAATTTATTTAAAAGAAAAATTCATTATCCCTTACATAAAAAATTGATCCTGTGAATCATATTAATGAATTTGCAATTCTAATGCTAAAAAAGATATATTACTGAATAATTAGTTAAAAAACTTAGATAAAATAATTTTATTTTTTATTTTTAATTAAAAAAAATATGAGAGTCAACTTTATTAAATCCAGTAAAAAGTTTTACAGTAAAAAAATAAATAGTACAAAGACCATTTATCATTATTTGTAAATAAAGAAATCAAATAAAATTATTGAATTTGATTCTCCAATTAAAAAAATAAAAAATAAATGTAAAACAATATAATTCTTCTTATAATTTTTGAATTATTAAATGATAAATTTAGAGTATATAAAAATTTTAGTTAAAACTTTGTTACCACACATTAGAACTTTTTTAATATTTTAACTTTGTATAAAAATTCAAGTGAATGTTCCATAAAATAAAATATTTAAAATTTTAAAAGATAAAGAAATTACTTATACTTTTGAAAATAATGCCTTTTAATTAATGAATTTATCAACAAATATGTTCATTAATGATCATAAAATTAATTATATATTATATATAATAAATTTTAATAATTAATTATGATAATTAGTTTTTTGGGCTTTCTCTAGCTTGTTGTTTTCTTCAATTTAAAGTAATATGTATTTATTAATTATGTTTTCCTGGCTTTCTTTACCTTTTCATTTTTTTTTATTTTAAAAATAATATTTATCTATTAATTATGATCATTGATTGTGTCATTTGGGTTTTATTATTCTTTTGGTTTTTTAAGATATTAAAGATAATATTCACTTATTTATAATTTGATTAATTGTGATAATTTATCATATTTTTTAAACTTTATTTATCTTTGATTTTTTTATTTTAATAAAAATAATATATATTTATTAATTGTGATAATTGATTATGTGATTTTTTTTGGTTTTTATCTTTTGATTTTCACAATTTTAAAGAGATATATTAAATTGATTATGTATTTTTTTTTTGTCTTATGGCTTTACCTGTTCGTTTTTTTCAATAATATTTATCTATTAGCTATGGCAATTTATTGTTCACTTTTTGTTTTTCACCTTTTCATTTTCTTCAACTTTAAAATTATATTTATTTATTAATGTGATAATTAATTGTGTCTTTTAGGCTTTTTTGTCTTTTAGTTTTTAAAAATTTTAAAAATTTTATTTACTTATTTAAAATTAAATTAACTATGATCATTGAATATGTTTTTTAAAATTTATTTGCCTTTTGATTTTTTCGATTTTAGGAAAAATAATGTCTATTTATTAATTGTGATAATTTATTATATTTTTTGTTTTTCTTACCTTTTGGTTTTTCATCATTTCAAAGAGATAAATATTATATTAATTGTGTATTGTTTTTTTTTTTTTTGCCTTTTGACTTTCATCAAGCTTAAAAATATATCGTCATGTATGTGTATATATATATATATATATTAAACTCTTTATTTATTTAATAAGATTTTCAAATAATTTGCATTAATATGTATTTAAAAAATTTCATAACAGGAATAAAAAATGTATAAATTACTAACGAATAAAGAGATATAATTACAATAGTAGTCCTACAAAAAAATTTGTATTATAATAATTATTTAATATATGATATTTAAAATTTTGTTAAAATATATTTAATTTTTAATTTTAAATAATATATTAAAAAATAATTTTGTAACACATGAGTTAAAATAACCTACTGGAGTAATGAAAAACATTTATAATATTAGAATATCATTAAAAGCATTCCTCTAAATGGTATATATTTTTATTTGTTATAAACCAATTTTTGTTTAAGAAATTTTAGTGGATGTTGAAAATTATAAATATTACAATTTAACTCGAAGATTGATTAATTTCTAAAAGAATGAGGTATAAAAAAATTTTTAAAAAAAAAGATTTTAATAAATTAACTATACTTAAATAATATGAAAAGGTAAGAAATTCATTATTCAATATTGATTATTAAATTGATTTATCTTTTAAAAGAAGAAACAATCCCTTTAATGAATGTATCAATCTCATGAGAAAGAGGAATGCAGCCCCTAAGAGATAAAAAAGCTACTTAGAATACTTTTCATATTTAAATGATGAAATTCACGAATATTTATGAATTTATGAATTTTACTATTTTATTTTACTCTAAATAAAACTATCATATTTAAATGATGAAATTTATGAATTTGGCATTAACTCTCTAGTGTTCATTTGACCTTAAATTTATTTAATAGGAAAATCTTTAACTTTTCTCTTTAGCTATACTTTTACCTTTTATAAATGAAAATTTGTAGTTCAAACCTAAGCTTTAAGTCATGAATGTGGAGGAATAAAATGTGAAAAAATAATTATCTTTTTGCTAATTAATAAAAACATAAATTGCCTAAAAATGTAAAACTTTGGACTTGATCTTAAAGCCACTAATCAATGCCGTGGATAAAAAGAACTATTATCATTAACAAATTCAAGATGTTCTTTTGAAAAAAATTAAATTGAAAAAAATATATAAAAAAAGTTTATAAATTTAGTCTAGGTTTCAATTATGGATTTTATGAATTAGCATTAGAGCCAAAATTTAACCAAATTCACATATATTTATAGCAATAATATTTTAATGTGTCTCTTCTTTATATTGTTAAAGTAGGAATTCAAATGAAAATTCTATTTTATAAGTTATCGCTTTAATTTGTGTTTTCAACTACAAGTGCGAATGAAAAAAATAAAAATAGTATTTAAAGTGTTATTTTGATAAGAATTTATTTACAAATAAAATATGAAAATAAATAAATAAATTTAATTAACCATGAGATTTTTGAAATTAAAATAAACACTTAAAATCAAATCGAGTTTATATATATATATATATATCTAATGTAAACAATATTCATATTTTGTTTTACTATAAAGATTTTTATTATATAAATCATCACTTTAACTTGTATTTTAATTAAATAATAGGTACATAAGAAGAGAAAAAAATTACTTATTAACAAAATTAAAATGTTGTTTTATGAATAGTAAATTACAAAGAATATATAAAAATAAACGTTGTTTTATGAATAGTAAATTACAAAGAATATGTAAAAATAAATACAATTTATTATAGTTTTTATAGTATTTGTCAATGTTATATTAAACTCTTAGCTTCCATTCAAATTCATACAACTTTTTTTCAAATAATTTTTATGTGTATTGGATCTTTTTAGAAGAAAAAACTATACAAAAATTCTATAATTAAATCTTTTCAGTCATATTTTAAGTAG